ACAGAGCACGGGACTGGCACGCCCTACTAAATTAGATACCTTGCTTTCCTCCGTCTCCATGACAACCTTGTCAAGATGCTAAGAATTCAGAACCTTTTCTAGTTGCATGTACTGGGCTTCTAACCCATACAGCCCGACTATGGCACTGGAAATGAAATTCAAGACTTGTTTTTTTTTTTTTTTTTTTTTTGCAGGGGGCTCAGAAGCAGGGTGGCCTGGCGGGGTTCAGCTCCTGTGTACGTGAGTGTGTAAGCTACATCCCTCAGCCTGCCCCGATCAGTGACACGGCTTTCAAGAAGGCCACCCCCCTACACACCCCCACACATTTGAAGATCATGTCTCTACACAACCCGGGAGCTCGGGAGACTCTTAGAAGCCATAGATCAGCCACTCCTTGGATGGAAGACAAATTCTGCCAGATGTGCAGGACATATTATCCAGAAACGTTGGAGGAGGGAATCTAGGAAATAGATTACAGTGCAACTGAACGTGCCGGGCTGTGTGGCAAGCAGGGCGTGGTATGACAAGACACTGTTGAGAAGAGGGAGCGACTTGGTACCTAGAAGGTTGGGACTGATGGAGAGACGGCAGTCTGGCCTAGAAAGTTGGTTGTGTATTTCCTTGCTGTGGCCGTGTCTCTCACGACCACAAGAGGGCTTCCCTGACTCATTTGGAGTCCACGCTGCATCAAGGTTTCCCACCCAGGATGGCGCTGCCTTTTAAATAAATCCAAGCCAGGCTGGCCCTGGGGCTGCTTGCTTAACCCCAAGCAGGCGCTCTGAATCCACTGAAACTTGGGGTCTCTCGCTGGATCGGCAATGGCTGAGAACCGGGCTTCAGATGCAGGGACGAGGGACAGAGTGTGTGGCTGGATTCAGGGGGGGAACAGGACAAAGGAAGAGACAGCTGCCCACTGAATACAGCAGGGGCCAATAACAGAGAGAGAGAGAGAGAGAGAGAGAGAGAGAGAGAGAGAGAGAGAGAGAGAGAGAGAGAGAGAGAGAGAGAGAGAGAGAGAGAGAGAGAGACAGAGAGACAGAGAGAGACAGAGAGAGAGACAGAGAGAGAGACAGAGAGAGAGAGACAGAGAGAGAGACAGAGAGAGAGACAGAGAAAGAGACAGAGAGAATTCTACAAATTGTTAGCATCCTTTCCCTGCAAGGTGGTCTTTTCCACCTGTCTCGCAGCTGATCCTGTTTCCCTTCACTCCCAGGTCTGCAGTCATGGAGCAGCCGGGCTTAGATGGCACAGGACAGCAGACCACAGCACTTTGCACAGCCAGTGCAGTGATCTCTGGGGTTAGTCTGTGCCGAATGTGGTGTGCGCGTGCGCGTGTCTGTGTGCGTGCATGCGTGCATGTGTGTGTGTGTGTGTGCGCGCGCGCGCGCGTGCATTCGTGGCGTCTCCTGGGTGTGGAGCAAGTGAGCGAGCTCTCCAGTAGTCCGTGTGTTCCCCTTGCAGCATAGACAGGGGAATGGCGATGTCTGTTGCTTGGGTTTGGCCCAAGGAAGGGGCAAGTCACGAAGAGGTGACAGGAAGTGAGATGTGGGATCTGCTCTCCTCGGTTAATCAGCCCTTCATCACTTTTGACCTAAAGGACCTGATAAAGACACAAAAACTCCCGGGACCCAGGCTGTGCGGTGGGCAGGGGAGACTCTCAGCCATCTCCCTGACTGGGGAAGTCCACCATTAAAGTCCAGGTGTGAGCTTGTCATTCTCCCTAACGACAGACGGGTGGTATGGTCTTTGTCTCCCTTCTCCGGCATCTCTCTCTCTCTCCTTAAAGAGATGTGTCTCTTTTTACTTATGTGTATGTGCGGTGTGGGGGGAGGGGAACTATGGAAGCCAGAAGAACAAGATACCAGGCTGTTGTGAGCGGCCTGATGTGGGTGCTGGGAACTTAACTCGGATTCCCTGAAAGAGCAGCAACTTTTTTTTTCTGTTTTGTTTCTTTTCTGTTTTTGGTGGTGGTGGGGAGTGGGGGTTCAAGACAGGGTTTTTGTGTGTAGCTGTTGCTGCCCTGGAACTCAGCACATATTCTTAACACCTGTCCCTGCCCCTTCTCCTTTCCGAAATCTCTTTTGGGCTGGCCTTGACATCACTCCCTTGACTAACCATTCACAGGGGAGAGCTGACAGTTGCTACCTCACCTGCTGGAGGACGTTTTCCCTTCTCTTGTCTGTCTGGATGCTGCCCACATCTCTCAGAGGTTAGGTCCCAGCCTCTTACTCATTACTGCTCCCATGAGCCCAGTCTGGCCCTGTCTCTGTGTTTAAGCCTGTTGCCTGCTGCGGATCTAGCTTAAGCTGGAAGCCGGTGATGCAGTGACTATGTGACAGGGAGGAGACCTGCGTGCACAGCCACGCGTGCTGGCTGTGAAAGCCACTGGTAGAAAGTAATGGTACTGACCCTGAGGAGGCTCTTCCCCATTGACACTACCCTCTGCTTCTCTGAAGGCTCAACTCACCACGCGTGTGCTTCCAGGACACTGGCTACGTTGCAGAACGAATGCTCCCGGGATGCCAAAGTCTATACCCCACCCTAAGGGAATATGGCTTGCCGTGGGTTCATATACAAGTCACTGTGAGCACATCCTGTCGAGCACAGACGTTCTTATCTCAGCATAAATGTGAAGAGCTTTAAAAATAGGTTTTCATTTTAATTAAACTGTCTCTGTAAGTGCAGGTTCCTGAGGACTTGGGTAACTGTGTGTGAGTAGGAGGCATTCCACTGAGGGCAAACAAAATGGAGGATGTTCCTCAGAAATGACTGCTCGGAGTTACAGTCTCTTTGCCACCTCAGGGCACTTATGATCCAGTGCTGGAGTCCCTCCTCCTCCTCCTCTCTCTCTGTCTCTCTGCCTCTCTCTCTTTCTCTCTGTCCCTCTCTCTCTGTCTCTCCCTCTGTTTCTCTCTCTCTGTTTCTCTCTCTCTGTTTCTGTCTTTCTCTCTGTCTCTCTGTCTCAATCTCTTTCTCTCTCTCTCTGTCTCTCTGTTTCTGTCTGTCTCTCTCTGTTTCTGTCTGTCTCTGTCTCTGTCTCTCTCTGCCATAGGGTCTCCCCATACAGTCTGAGGTTTTTTTTAATTATTAATATAAATTAGAACTCTGTGCTACAAGGGAACAAATAAATATCTTTTCCTCCCCCTCCTAAAATGTTGTTTTAAGAGTCCTTTGTGTATTCTACGGGCCTTTGTCAGACATGATTTGTAAATGTTTTCTTCCGCTCTGTATTTTACCGGATTTTTTTCTACGAAGCGAGTATTTCTAATTTTGATGAGGCCCCAGTGTATAAATTTTTCCTTTTATGGATTGTGTTTTTGGTCTTGAATCTAAGAACCCTACCCCTAGCCCGTCGAATTTTTTTTTCCTGTGACGTGTTCTTTTCTAGTAGTTTTAGAGCCCCGTGCTGCTTCCGTCCAGGATCCATTTTGACTCTGTTGGGTGTAAGGTGTGAGGTTCGGGGTGAGAGGCTCCAGGGCTATTTGGTGAAAGGCAGGCTTTCCCCCATCGGCTTACATTTACTCTTTGGCCCACGTTCGGGTTACATGAGCAGCCCCGGTTTATCCAGTCAGCCATTCACCTTGTAGCTAAGGCTGGCTCCACCTCTACTCCCCAAGTGGTGGGGTTGCAGGTGTCTACACCCCCAAACTATCTCTGGGTCCTGTGCCCTGGTCCATCGGTCTCCTTGACTGGCCTTCCTCCACGCAGTCTTGATGTGATGCTGTGGCTACTTAGAAATGTCAATGTTGGGAAGAACAGGTCTTTCTACGGTATTTGCCCCCCCCCCATCCCCAACTGGCTGTTTCCTTTCCCTATAAATCTGTGTGATCCCGAGGCACAGAAACCTGTTGAGATTTTGACAAGCATTGCTTCGGTCCAGGTCAGTCTTAAGAAAGGACTGTGTGTTTTCTCCCAGCCCTGGAGCCTGACCCTGGGCTACACAGTCACATGCAGCCAACACAAACACTTCTCTGGTTGCAGGAGAGAAACTCCACAAGGACCGGCTTCGGCAGTGCAGACTGGCTAGTGAGCTTTGTTCTGCCGTGAATGTTGGAGTCTGACAGACTCAATCTACCCCACACGGGGCCGGCATCCTCAGGGCTGGCCTCGGCTTCCTGGGACTCATGCTGTCTTAAGGGAAACAACACTGATGTCTTCAGAGCGATGGACTGTCCTTTTTGAGCCCGTGAGAGCTGGAGGTCAGTTCAGTAAAATCTGTCTTCATCCCCACCACCCCCACCCTCGCCCGCTTTGCCGGAGAGGATCTGTCAAAGCACACTGCTCTCCAGCGCCCCGAGGGTCCCTGTGAGATCGGAAGAGAAAGGTGTAATGAACAAAGGTTTTGCCAAAAGCCTTCCAACCTACCCCTGACTCTCTAGATCCCATGCCATCCTCCCCACAGCCCAGAGCCGGCTCTCAGGGACAGAGCCTTCTCTTCCTGCATCCTGTTCCGTCCTGGCACCACCTCCTCCTGCCACACCCTTTATTTCTCAATCTGTTTTATTTTCAGTCAGTGGCCCAGATATCACCATTAACCTTCATTTCAGTTCCTCATCCAAAACTGACCACAAACTTTTTTTTTTCCTTTTGAGACAAGGTCTCCCATCCGCTCCACTAGCCCTTGATAAACTCAAGTGTGTGGCTGTGGAGGATCTTGGATGCCGGGACCTCCTGCCTCCATGTCCCCAAACACTGGGATCACAGGTGTTCGAGGGTGCACTCTGCTCGATTCTGCACACTCTATAAGACTTCTTTACCCCAGGGCCGGTCACAAGATTAGTGAAGAAAGACCCCGTGTGTGGCAGAAGAATTGTATCCATCCGACAGTCAATCAATCGTATCAGTTAGCGGAGAATCCGATGTGGTTTAAAATTTGTTCTGCAAAATGTGTGTTCTGGACACTTAATCTCGGACACCAATCCCAAGAGCGTTGGAGGGAATTAAGGGAGGCTAGCAGATAAAGGCTTCCTTGCATTTAAAAAGATGGTCTATTTATTTATTATTTATTTATTGTAATGACTTTTTAGGTAAGTTCGTTATGCAGCCTGGGCTGCACCTGAACTGTTGATCTTTCTTCCTAGCCCAGAGCTGGGATCACATACACAGCACTTAGTTCCCAGGGTCATTATTGGGCGGTATGTTCCTTCGACAGAGCTTCACTTCCCCACCTCTCCGCCTTCTGACCCAGGGTGCTTTACTGCAGTGCTGCCAGGCAGCAAGACACGGTGCCGGCCCTTCATTTTGGATTTCTGGGCCATCAGAGCCATGGTCCGTCAATCCAGTCAATTCCTGTCTATTACAAATGACTTGGCATGGAGTGCTCTGTTGATGAAGACGGAACGGATGTCTACGAAGCGAGTGTCAAGTAACAACTTCCGGTGCCTCCCCATTAGGAAAACAGAGAGAAAGCTCCCTCAGCTCTTCTTCCGGAAATGACTTCATTCCAGCGCAGAGAGGACTCCCCCCTCCCCTGCCCCCCACTATTGTTCACCCCTCCTCCTCTCCTCTGCCCACTAACACTTGTCACTTACACTGGAATGCCCCCGTGCAAATGCACGTGCACAGCCTGTGGTCTGTTCTACCCCACCAACAGTTCACGCTTGGTGAGAGGACCGCGTGGGACCCGAGGACTGGAACCCAGAGCTCAGGAGGCCGGAGGACTGCAGAGTTAGCCCAGCAGCAGGCAGCCTGCAAGGCGCATGCTCTTAGGCTGGGAGAGCCCACAGCTGCCCAGATCACAGAAGCCTGGGGGGGTAGGGCTCAGGGCCGTGGAAATGATTGCACTCAAAGAGCTAATGACCTCCATTGTCTAGTCAGAGTCATGCTTCCTCCCCCCCCGCCCCGCCCCCTTGAGGCAGGGTGTCACTACATGCTCAAGACTGGCCTCCATATATGACTTAGATGATGCTGAACTTCTGATTCCTTCCCACCGCCAGCACCTCTGGTGCCAGAGTTACAGGCATGTTACCACAACCCATCTCTGCAGAGGGGAGGGCGCACTCTACCATCTGAACTCTACCCCTCGACCAAGGGACCTTGTTTGCTAAGCATGGAAGGGCTCCGGGTTCCCAGCTCCATGGCTCAGTCCTTGTTCCCAGGCATCACAAACTAAAATTACAGAGTTACAAGCTCTGGGCCATCATGGGGCTTGCGTCTGTCAGGGCTTCACTCTGCTGACCCTGGTCCGAGCTGCCACTTGGGGATGGCGTCTCCCGTGGAGATTCGCATGGGGGCTCTGCTCCTGTGGCTGCAGGCATGAGGGTGGTTTTCAAGTCCTTGGCCTTTTTTCTCAGATGAAGTGTGAAACTTCCAGATTGTATACAGCCCCAAATCCCTCTGAACAGCAACTGCTAATGCTTCCTGTGTTGCAACAACGAAAGTCCCTTCTAGCTGCTGCCACCTGGGTTTGGCTGTTGAACTCTTTCAGGCTCCCAGGAGAGGTTGGTGGCTGTGGGGGTGGGAGCTTCCTGTCTATCAGCTCAAGCTACAGAGCACTTCCTGCAAATCCCTTCCTGCTTCTGTATTTGGCAGTGCAGGGCTGCCCCTGCCCTTCATAGACCTGGCTGCCTGTAGGGTCTCCTGTGTCCCGTTCTCTTTCTCTTCTCTCTTTCTCTTCTCTCTCTCTCTCTCTCTCTCTCTCTCTCTCTCTCTCTCTCTCTCTCTCTCTCTCTCTCTCTCTCTCTCTCTGTCTCTCTCTCTCTTCTTTCTTTCTTTCTTTCTTTCTTTCTTTCCAACAAGGTCTCTTCTAACCAGCTTGGCCTCAAGCTCACTAGGTAGTAGATGATGGCCTTGAACTTCTGCCTCCAACACCCTAGTGCTGGGATGACTCTCCCCAGCAGGCGCTATCACACTCACCTTCAAACTGAGATTCCAAGAGGTTTCTCATTATTTGGTACCAGTCAGGATCTCGGTTTCCCCTGAGTCTCTGTGAGAGCTATCTTAGGTGGCTGGAACGGGAAGACTGTCAGGGTCAGTCAGGTCCTCACGCTCAGATCTCAGTTACCTGAAGAGGTTGCTCAGTGTGGGAGACTGGACATTGGTGCTCCAGTGTGAAGGTCTTAGTTGAACCTTACCTCTGGTCCTTCAGGAGCCAACCTGGCTGGGTAAAGATGATCTGAGGACAGTCCGTCCCCTCCCTCTGGCTATTGGGCTATATTGAAACAGTGGTCCCCGAGCAGTGGAATTCATCTAGGGGTCTCACGCTGGGAAATGAAAAAGAGCAGGGCTGTGGTTTGCTGCCCAGAAGTGGAACTTATCTCCTACAAAGAGATCTCACGACGTTCTGGAGACATTTCTGACCATCTTGCGGGAGAACCTGAAGTGCAGACCAGGGTGCTGGGTGAGATCGTATCTTCCCAAGATGGTTGAGTTATTCGCACTCCTTATCCTCCATTTAAAACCTCAAGTCAGGACTCCAAAGACAGACCTGAGAATAGCTGGGCCTCTTCACTCATTTTCCCAGTGTGGCCGCATTGAACAAATCTCCATGCTCTGTCTGGTTTTCACTATCACCCATCTAATTGTCCTACTGAGAACTGGGAGTGGACGGCCACACCACCCTGAACTCTCCTGATCGCTGCTGACTTTGGAAGCTAAGCAGGGTTGGGCCTGGTTAGGACTTGGATGGGAGAATGGAGGGCCCAGCACATTGAGTGCTGCCAGGACCCGGGGAGCCCCAGGACCCTAACAACCCTGGTAGCACTATAGTCTACTGCTCCCTTTCTCCATCCGGGTAAATTAGAGTTTCTCTTCTGCAGAGGGGCTGCAGCTGTAGCTCAGCGGATGGACTGCTTGCCTAGTATGTAAAACCCCCTTAAATTCGAGGTGGCATTCACCCCTACTCTTCACACTGTTCTGGAGATGGAGGCAAGGATGATCTTGAGTTCAAGATCATTCTCAGCTATAGATACCTGAGCTCCCTTTCCATAAAACTAATCACCAGGCTTAGAAACAACACCCCAAAGTGCCCCCTCTCTGTCTCTCTCTCGGAGCTGACCCTAGAGACTCTCCATGGTTGCCTTCGTCTGATGAACTGCAGCAACCTAGAAGTCCTTTATTTCAGAAGGGATCTTGGTACAAACTTAGGGGGAAGGGACACTGCACAGAGGCCTTGAAGAATCAGCATGGCCTTGCTAAGTCCCCCAGTCCATCTGGTGCAGTGTGTCATTATTATTCCTTTGACATGTCTGTCCAAGCTTCACCTATTTATGAAAGTGGATCATTCACTTTGACTCTTAGGGTCTCAGTTTGAAGATTTCTGGGTCAATAGCATTGGGATCATATCAACTGTTTTTCTTTTCTTGTTAACTTACTTGGAGACACAGCTGCTGAAGGTGAAGTTCCGGTGGAGACCGGTTGAGGCTCACTGGATAGCCTGGCTGAGAGATCCCGTATGTGGTGCTGACACAGGAACCGGGAGAAAGACATCAGGATGGGTGTGATGATTAATATAAGTTCGGGGTTGTTAATGTTGGGGGTATGCTTGGCATGCGGCAGATATTGGAAACGTGCTAGTTTTGATATCAGATTGTTGGAACTGGGAGGGAGTGACAGATTGTGTGAGGAAAGTGTCCTCGGTGGATCCCAGCTGAACCTCTGCTGGGATATGTTCATTTGCGGAGTGGTGTTGGGGATGGAGTGGGGAATGGAGGCTTGTTTTGGGTGATTAAGAATCCCCCCAGAGGGCTTCTGTTTTCCTTACCCGCCTTTTCAACCCCAACCTGTCACGACCACCTCGACCAGCAAGGAAGACGTGACTCAGGAATCCTTCTTACAAGCAGTTTATCAAAAAATTGGGTGCAACTGAGAAGCGCCCATAGCCAAACTAACAATGTTTTTACTTTTGGTTCGCTGCTAGCCAAACTAACAATGTTTCTTTTAAGCTTCTAATGTTTCTTTTTAGCTTTTACTTTGGGTTCCCTGCTAGCCAAGCTAACAATGTTTTTACTTTTGGTTCGCTGCTCCACAAACCATTTGTCCCGCTCTCTGTTTACCTACAGAGAGGAGCAAAGCAACTGCTCTTGTCGCAGTCCTTTTTTTACCCCGCTCTTGTCATGGTCCCTTTTTTAGTCTAAGATTTTTTGATGGCAGCAACTCCTTGAGTGCCAGAAAAATTGGGTGGGATGTGGAATTACCCATGCTTTAATAAAATTGATTTTCTGATCGATCTGTCCTAGTAACAAACAGTGAAAAAGAAAACCCAAAAAATTAAATTGAATACCACCCAAAGGGCCAAGAAAAATAATAATCCATACAACCCTCTGTTTTACTTTTACTCTGTCTGCTTTGACGCGGCTCTGCTGCTTTGCTTTCCCGTCCTCTTTGACACCGTTCTCCCCTTCTCTACAGGTGAGAACAATAACCCGCTCTTTTCGTGGATCCCCACCTTACCTGGGGACTTACCGGTGCACCCCCTGACCGCTGTGAGTTCTGAATTCCTTTCTTCGTACGAGCGTCCCCGTATGGGCCACCAATTGTCACGACCACCTCAACCAGCAAGGAAGACTCGACTCAGGAATCCTTCTCACAAGCAGTTTATTCAGGAACCTTGAACAAATCTTCTGACCCCAGGGAGTGCCTGCCCACAGCTTAAAAAGGCCCTTGGGCGGCCAACCCCGGTAAGCCATGTGGCGACAGCAGATAGGTCCACATACGAGGAAGCAAGCCTGATATCCAGCCTTGACCAAATAAGGAGTTGTTTATCACAGAGAGCACTTGCTGTGGGGCTAGCAAAAGGCAGAAGCCAGCACCATCTTAAGGGTGCAGCACTTCGCAGCTCTCTACACCAACCCCCATCCTGGTTGATGCTTCCTCTCTGTGCTCCTGGTTCCCTGTTCTCATAGACTTACTTTTATGACCTCTACCTTGATTGACACTGCAGCAAAGACCCTGTTTCCAATACAGTCACATTCTGAAGTGTGAGGGGCCTGGAGTGTCAACACATTTATGCTAACCAAGCAGAACTGGTTAGGAGCAGGGAGAAAAGGATGGTTCTGCACCCTCGGGGCACAGTGCTGCTGAGAAAGGGTGTCTAGGTTTCTTCTGTGCTCTCAACAGCCATAAGACAGTGTCTTGGTGAGTGTTTCTATTGCTTCAACAAGACGCCATGACCAAAGGCAAGCTGAGGAGGAGAGAAAGGGTTTGTTGGGCTCACACTTCCACAGTGCTGTTCATCATAGACGGAAGTCAGGACAGGAACGCAGACAGGGCGGGAACCTGGAGTCAGGAGCTGATGCAGAGGCCCTGAGGGGTGCTGCTTACTGGCTTGCCCCTCATGACTTTCTCAGTTTGCTTTCTTATAGAACCCAGGACCACCAGCCCAGGGATGGCCCCACCCACCACGGATGGGCTGGGCCCTCCCCCATCAATCACTAATTAAGAAGAACTCTAGCTTATCAAGTTGACATTAGACCAGGGAAGCTCAGGTGGTACCTTTTAAGCTTGAGGAAGTGAACTAGAAAAGCTCAAAGTTATCATCTAAAGATCTTACAACCAGAGGCAGGTGACTTTCAAAACTACAACTCAGAGCACCTGTGGGAGTGAGCCTGAAGAAAGGGCAGCACATGCCTGGGAGTTCTCACGAGAACAACCCGAGAGGGAGACGTACAGAACCAAGAGGGAAGACCTTGAAAAGAAGCTACCCCAGTGTGTCCCGCCCCAGACTCCAAGGTAACTAAGAATTTTGGGCTTCGTTGGAAAGCCGACCGCTCATCTAGAGTTCTTGTACAGCGTGCAAACAGCCCTGGGTTCCATCCAAATGCTGGCCCGCATCTTTGATCCCAGTACCCCGGAGGTGGTGGCAGGAGAATCAGAGGTTCAAGGCCAGCCGTGAATCGAGTTTGGGATCAGACTGGGCAACACAAGACCCTGTCTTAAAACAGAAACAGGAAAAGACGGAGCAATGAGGCGGGCAAGCCCTGGGACAGTGGCACCTGCCCTGTTTGTTCTCAATGAATTACTAGGACAATTTTCAAATTCTAGTAGCAGACCAACCAAGGGTTGAGCAAACAGGAAAACGGAGTCAAACTTGGATGAAGCGGTAGAAAGAAACCATAAACCATCTTCAAAGAATTCAAACCTTCAAATCAGGGTTCTGATTTTTTTTTCTCCCCTTCTAGAAGTCCTGTCTTAGGTTTCTTGGACCAGAGAGACTCAGCTGAAACTACCGAGTGTTACAGTGAGAGGCAGCCCTTGGCACTTTGAGAGTGAGTAGTCATGGCTCTGTTCCAATAAAACTTTATTTACCGCATCAGGCAGCTAGCCAGGCATGGACTGGGCAGTGATCTGCTATGCTCTAAGCGCAGTTCTCTGCATTAGCACAATGTTAACTCATAAAACAAAACGAAAAGGCTGCAGATGCAGTGCACAGTCCCTGAAGGGTCTCTCCAAGGAGCCCTGCAAGACGCAGGAAGTTGGAGTTGGGGCGGGGACCATGGGATGAGGGGTAGATCTTGGGGGAGTTATGAGGAGGAGTGAGGGGGTGAATAAAAAAAGATTGGAAACTGCAGGGCGGCGGTGGCACACGCCTTTAATCCCAACACTCGGGAGTCAGAGGCAGGTGGATCTATGTGAGTTTGAGGCCAGCCTGGTTTACAAAGCGAGTTCCAGGACAGCTTCCAAGACAATACAGAGAAACCCTGTCTCGAAAAATCAAAAACAAACAAACAAACAAAAAGATTGGAAACTGTAGCCTACTTATTTCAGCACAGGTTTCTGAGCAAATGGCTGAAGCAGCCTATTCCCCAAAAACCGTCGAGCAATGTCTTTGCGTTGTTTGGGGTTTTCGGTGGTAAACACAAAAGACCGTAGACCCTTACTCCCAAGGAATTATTGGTTTCAAAAGAAATCTTGTAAAAAGCAGTCAGCAATGAACTGAAAGTCCACCCAGCACAGGGCGGGGACAATACAGATTTAGACACCACAGAGGACTCTGCAAAAATCGAAGTTCAATTCTCTGGGAAAGTGAACACAGTTCATAGCACATGTGTGGCATCCACACCTGGCTTTTACATGGGCAGCTAGGTCTCCACGCTTGCACACTGGGAACTGTGACCCCCTCTTGAAGATGTGACTCTCTTCATTTGCATTTTGGCCCTTTGCAGCACAATTTAGGGCAGTAAGAGCCATCGTTAACACTTTCCCCACCCAAGAGAACAACGCACTGTGAAATTGCCCCTATCCAGATACTACCTACCCCCCAACCATCTGTCAAGGTGGGGAATGCAGGGCCCTGCAGGACGCCCTGTCAGGGCTGCACAGAAGAACCCTACATGAGGTGAGCCGTTGGGCTTTCTTCACCTGACACGGCCCCCCCTCGCCCTCACCCTCCGTAACTGCCATTTATATTTGCCACTGTTGACAAAGCGGCAGGAACCAAAGTTTCCAGTAGTTCCTTGTTAGGGTGACGCCCCTTCCCAGAACGCCACCAGTTAGTGAGCCACACTCTGCTGTTTTGCCACCGGCAGCTCCCACAGGAGCTCCTTAAATTACCTTCTCCTCCTTGGTGTCCCACGTGACCAGAGAGCGGGAGAGTTGGACGGACTTGGGGGAGCCAAGTTTGCCACTGGGCAATGCTAGGCTGATGCTCATGTTGGTTAAACCATGGTTCCTTGGACCTTGGTGACTCCTGCAAATAGACTCCAGTGGGGCTTGGAAGAAGGCAAAAGCCCTACTCTGAGATGGCCTCGCAATGGAGCTTCTTTACCACAATTGTTTCAATTGCAAAACAAAATGAAACAGGCTGAAAAAAGTGGCCAGGTGGTTAAGAACACTTGCTATGCCGGGCAGTGGTGGCACACTCCTTTAGTCCCAGGACTTGGGAGGCAGAGGCAGGAGGATCTCTGTGAGTTCAAGGCCAGCCTGGTCTACAGAGTGAGTTCCAGGACAGCCAAGGATGTTACACAGAAGGAAAAAAACAAAAACAAAAGCAAACAGACAAAAAGAACACTCGCTGCTTTTGCAGGACATCCACACTGGGCATCTCACAACCGTTGAACCCCAGGTCCCATGGGATCTGATGCCCTCTTCTGGCCTGGGAAGGCCCTTGGATTCATGGGTACATATTCACACATATATGCAAGTTAAAGTGAAATAAACCTTTTAAAAATGTTACCTATCATATTGCTCTATTCATCCTTTCCACTGTATTGATAATGTCTGAATTCCATGACACAGTGAAGGTAGTTAACTCCTGCCTTTCCAGTGCGTGTGTGTGTGTGTGTGTGTGTGTGTGTGTATCTCTGTGTGTGTATGTGTGTTTGAGATAAGGTCTCATTATGTAGCTCAGGCTGTCTTGAAACTCAGTATATTGACCAGGTTGGCCTGGAACTCATAGAGATCTGCTTGTCTCTGCCTCCCAAGTACTGGGATTAAAGGCGTGTGAACTATGCCTGTCAGCTTTTCCCTTCTACAGTGAAGAAACGTGAAAGCAGCATACAGCATGTAATCATCACCTTGACAGGGTTAGTGGGTAAATGTAGCAGCCTGGGCTTGGATCTCCAGCACCCATGTAAATGCATAAATGCTGGGTGGGCGTGGCAGCCCGCCTTTAATCCCAGTACTGAGAGGTGGAGATGGATCCTTGGGGCTAGCTAGCTAGGTTAGCTGCATCGATGAGTAAGCTCTAGGGTCAAGTGAGAGGACTTACCTCTGTTAGTAAGGTTGAGTGAGGATGAAAAAGATACTTGATATCAACCTCTGACCTGCATGCACACGTGCACACACATGCACACACAGGTACACACATGCACATACACACTGCATATTCTGGAAAAAAATTCTTGATATTTATGAACGAAGCGAGACTTGACTTTAAGAGGACGTTGCTGAGATCATGGGCTATAAACTCCTCACTCACTTCTTCAGCGTAATCCCTCTTTTGGAATCCCACCCTTCTAACCCTCCCATACTTTGGGAATGAGGTGCATTAGCTTATGAACGAGGGGATAGCGGCAGGAATGAGGAATAATACAACACTGCCCAGTTTAAGCTCCTTGCAAGACGCTGGCGGCAAGGGCGGAATTCCCCAAGCTGGACTCTGCCCAGCGCGCCAGGCGCAGGTTATTGGGTAAGAGAACATTAGAAAAATGAAGTTGGCAACTGACAAAATGTTTTTATAATGTGGAAGTAAGTGACCTTGGATTTATTTTCTTTAAAAAGCCTTTTCTGGCAGGAGCAGGCCGAGGTACTCTGCAGATCCAGGATCCTATGGGGTAGTAGCAGCCGCTGGGCAGCTGTGGGTTATTTCAGAGCAATCATTTCTTGGCATCCGTTGTGTTTAAGAATGAAACAGACCAGATGTGCTGTTTCATTTTGCCAACGTTTGGCTTCTCCTTTTGAAGGCTTTCCAGTGATCATGGCCGCCTATCTCCCACGCCTTGTCAGCCGGCATGACTAGATCAGCACCTATGAACACAGGAGAAGCCCACTGAGTCCCTTTCTTCTTTCTCTTAGCTTCCCTGTATAACACTGCCAAAACAGGAAAGAATGAACCAAATGTTCCCTGTTTTCCACGGAGGTGGACCCTGGAGAAGCTAGCACAGGCCATCACACATTCCCAACACGTTCAATGTGTGTGACGAAGACACATCTGTGTCATGCTGTTCTGGGGTGGTTCACACTGTTTTCCTAGCTTTTGATAACGCAGTTGGAGGACAGGACAATGACACAGAGGGGTGAGGGGGCTGGCTAGTTGCAGGCTTTTCTCCATGTGAGTGCGAGGAGTGGAAGACAGTTGTTACAATGTCCTCCCCACTTAGTGTTCAGCTTTGAGACTCTGCCTGAATAAAAAATGAAGAGCATTGAATGTGACATCAAGGGAGTGTGTGTGTGCCTGTGTGTCTGTGTGTGCATGTGTGTATGTGCATGTGTGTGTGTTCCTGTGTGTATATATGTGCATGTGTGCATGTGTGTGTCTGTGTGTGCATGTATGTGTGTCTGTGTATGTACCTGTGTGTGTGTATGTGTGTGTGTCTGTGTGTGCATGTGTGTATGTCTGTGTGTGTACCTGTGTGTCTGTGTGTGCATGTGTGCTTGTGTGCGTGTGTGTGTGTGTGTGTGTGTGTGTGTAAGTGAGACTGAGGCATAGCATGAGAGAATCAGCTTCCAGCGAGACACAAGACTGCTGTTTCTGGCTGTGCATGGGCTGTGAGTTCCCATAGCAGGAACTCACGTGTCAAATGCGAGAGCTCTGTGTCTGCGCAGCTTCTCTTCCTCAGCCCATCTTCACCAAGTGCCCCCTTCTAGAGACGCCTTGCTCTGTCAGGCTCCTGTCCTGCTGCAGCCTCTGCCCCGCGGCCACTCCCAGCCTCTGTTTGTACTTGTAATGGGCACAGTGTTGGTGGTTACTGGCCAGGGATGGTGGTGGACACGCTTCCCATTTCCCTTTAAGTGTCAAGTGAAAATCTCAGAGTGTGTAGTGCTCATGCTCAGAGCCCTCGTGGCGCGTGCAGCCAGCTGCTACCAGACCCCAACCTGGGGCTCATACCAGAAGCTGACCCCATTGGCTAGCAGGCAAAAGTCCTTTTCTTTGAAGCCTCCAGAGAGGGCACATAGAGCCACCTCATTACAAGCTGCACCCTGAGTTATTCAGGGCCCGGCGTGGAACCATTTGAATTTCCCCAACAGTGAGTTCAACCTTCAACAAAATGTGCTATTCAGAAACCTGTTCAGACATGTGGTCCCCACGCTTTAAAAAAAGGTTATCATACAGATTGTGTGTGTGTGTGTGTGTGTGTGTGTGTGTGTGTGAACTTGTGCTATGGTACGAAGAGATCAGAGGAAAACTTCCTGGAGGAGTCAGATTTCTCCTTCCACGTGTGGGTCCTGGGGACAGAACTCAGGTTGTCGGGCCTGGTGGCAAGTGCCCTTACTCGCTTCAGTCTGCTTTCATTTTATTTGTTATGACAGATTTTGTTTTTGTTTGTTCTGTTTTTCTGAGACAGGTTTTCTCTGTATAACCACCCTGGCTGACCTGGAACTCGCTCTGTAGGCCAGGCTGTCCTTGCATTCACAGAGACCCACCTGCCTCTGCCTCCCGAGTGCTGGGAACCACCCCTCACCCCTCAGCTAGCCAACTTTTAAGGAGAACACCGAGCAGAAAGTAGAGATTTATGACACACCCGGTCTTCCACACTTACAACGACCTCCCCACTACCGACAACCCCAAACAGCCTTGTTCAAGGAGGTGAGCGTCTTTTCCCACACCCCGTTCCTTTCTCTCGGACCTCGGTCTCAGTAGCTCTGTGCAATGGATCCTGAGCTGTCCTCACCACCTCTTCCGGCAGGCACGCATCTGCCAAACCCCCTCTGTAAAGGGCATCAGGTGGACAGCAGGAACGCGGGCAGACAGACCCGCCAGGACAGGGAGCCAGGACGGCGTTGCCTCGTGTGTAACAGTCTCCCAGCCCAGGCTATGAATTCTTTTTCATTTTCTTGAGACTGGCTCTCCAGCCCAAAATGGCCTCAGACTTCCTGTGCGGGCCAAGATGGTCTTGAACTTGGGCCCTTTCTGACTCTATTTCCTGAGAGCTGAGAACTGAGCAGAGGACTCCGTGCATGCTAGGTAAGGTTCTCCCAGGTGAGCAACATCCCAGACCCTGGGGTTATGCTTTTTTGTTTTTTTCCCCCGAGGAATTTCTCAGCCCTGGACTTCATCGTCTCTAGCTCTTCCCTTTCTCACTGTGGGTTTGCACAGCCCCGCCCTGCAGACTCGTTCTAAAAGCTCCCCATTTAACGTCGAGTCTGTCCACCATGATGAGTCACAGGGCACGTCACCCTCGGGTGGTTCGAGCTTTCCGACAGGCAGCCTAGCCCTGTGACTGGCAGGAAGCAGCCCCGGCCAGACACCCACGCCCTAAGGTCCCTAAGGAGGGGCACTCCTTTCTCAGAAGCTGTGGGGTGGAGAGTATCAATCCTCCCGGAGTCTGGGAGCGGTGCGGGAGGGGAGTGGGAGAGGGGAGAGGCTCCTGGGAAAGACACGGTGGGACCAGGGGCCTGTTCCCACCTCACTGTAGGAAGGGCCACATCTGGTTTGCTCCTTGGCGAGGAGGAGGTGAGATCGGTCAAGGGTTTTCCCCACCTTTACCTGCTGAACCATTTCACTGGTCTCATATACTATGTTACACACACGCACACAAACACAGACACAACACAGAGACAGACACACACAGAGACAGATAGATACACAGATACAGACACACACAACACACACATGCATACACAGAGAGACACAGACACACACAGAGAGACATATAGATACAGATACACAGACACACACACAGAGACACAGACACATAGACACACACACACATGCAGAGAGAGAAATACAAACATACAGATACAGACGCACACAGATACACACACACACACCCAGATACAGACACACATAGAGACACAGACACACGTATACTACACACACATGGACACAAACACAGACACACACAGAGACAGATAGATACACACAGATACACAGATACAGACACACACAACACACACATGCATACACAGAGAGACACAGACACACACACAAAGACATACAGATACAGACACACACAGACAGACACAGACACACACACACATGCAGAGAGAGAGAAACACACAGAGAGAGACAAACACACAGATACAGACGCACACAGACAGACACACACGCACACACACACACACACACACGGTGCAGAGAAACTTAGCTTCCTCACAGATCTCTTGGAGTATACTTGCAGTACAAGCTGGGCACACCCTCTTTTAGCAACGGTGAGGGCAGCTTACCTGGGAAGGAAGCTGAGTTGCAAAGGGACGGGGAGAAACTGTGTCGGGACTATTGCCGGGGTGGGGCCCTCTTGGTCCTTCTGGGCTACAGAGAAGAATGAGCAGCTAGGGCTTTGGAAGCCCAGGGAAGACCACTAAGGGAGACAGGCGGAGAGAAGGGCGCCTTAGGTTTGGAGAGGCACACATTCCCATACAGCGAGTGAAATGGCAGAGAAATGCATCTGTCTGGCACTGCCCTGTACTGTGGATACAGCACATCGGCCCAGGATGGACCACATAGATGGTGGTGGCCACACGTGTTTATGAGAACCGGCAGAGACGGCCTCTCCAGTTCTACAAACTTTCCACATGTCCATCTTTCATGCATAAGCATCAATGGGTGTCAACGTTTTATCTCAGTTAATTAAAACACTTCTGCCATTACTAACGGCAGGGGAAGAGTTTCTGGAAAGGACGCCAGAGCCGCTCTGCCTCCCGGAGAACTCTACAGTCCAGAGCCACACAGTCTGATGCCCTTTCGCTTGGTAAAGCAGCGGTGTAGCAACCGCTCACTTTCAGTGACTTCTTTGATAACAGTTCAACGCTACCTGCATAATGGACACCCTTAATCAGAAGTAATGCTTTCCGTTTTTCTTTTTTAAAAAAGATTTTATTTATTTATTTTATGTATATGAGTACTCTGTCTGAATGTACACCTTTATGCCAGAAGAGGGCATCAGATCGCACTAGAGACGGTTGTGAGCCACCATGTGGGTGCTGGGGATTGAACTCAGGACCTCTGGAAGAGCAGCCAGTGCTCTTAACCGCTGAGCCATCTCTCCAGCCCCTGCCTTCCCTTTTTAAGTATCACAGATTTTCATTGTACAAACATAAATATAAAGGAAAATGTCACGCACAAAAAAAAAAATCACACCGCTAGCTGAAAAGCCCTGTGATCGCGAACACTGCCAGCGTGACATGATTTTGGGTCACTAGGAGACCAGCATCGGGATTTTCTAAATTAGCTTCACCGAAGCCCACCTTAAATGTGGGCGGCAACTCCTCGGAGGGTGGGGTGTCCTGGATAGAATGGAAAGAAGATGAGCTGAGCACCTCGCTCATCTCCCCTTCCCGGCTGTGGCTGCCACGTGACCGCCTGCCTCCCCATCCTGCTGCTGCGCCTTCCTCTGCGGCTATGTGCTGGTGCTGTCCAGAATGGTAGCCACTGACCGTGTGTGGCCATTGGGCTGGTAAAAGAGGGAATGTTTAACTTGTTTCCTTCTCTTTGTCACTTTTCATTCCGACAAGCTGGCCTTGGACTAGCTATGCGGCCGAGCATGAACTGGAATTCCTGGTCCTCCTACCTGCTCCTCTCTGGCGCTGGAGTCTTGGCTGTATGCCGGCACACTCGGCGTATGTGATGCCAGGGAGGGAATCCAGGATGCGTTAGGCAAGCCTTCACCAGCTGTGCCTCATCCTCAGCCCCGGCTTCACTGTTGCTATTGTTTAACTATATTAGCAGCGGGGGCTGGAGACATGGCTCAGTGGTTAAGAGCACTGGCTGCTCTTACAGAGGACCTGGGTTTGGTTCCCAGCACCCACACCGCACGGCAGCTCACAGCCATCTGTAACTCCAGTCCCACAGGATCCAACATCCTCATCCGGCCTCACTTGGCATGCAGGTGGTGCACATGTATACATATAAGCAAAACACTTACATGCATACAAATAAATAAATAAACCTTAAAAAGTGAACTGCAGTGCTCGGACAATGTAGTACTGGTTACCATCTGGTTTTCTGCATCAACTCGTTTTTTTTTTTTTTCAGGTTAGTTTCGTTTCCATTCCAAAGGGGAAAAGGAGTCGCTACAAGACTGCAGAACAGAGTAATTACACAAGTAGGTTGAGAAGATTGTTTGCAGATTTAGGCGCAAGATAGATTAGCTGGGTTTTAACCTGTATTTGCTTTCTATGGGTAGCTAAGAGAAGGTGACAAATAGCCCATAAAACAAACATTGCCATAAAATTTATCTTCGGAACTGATCTGACAGTGCAAACTTCCAAACAATTAGGCCACCCACAGACCGAGAAGCACAAGATAATCACCCCAGCAGGAGACAGAATAGACAGCTTCAGGGAGCCATTCCTGAGGGCCTGCATACGAATGGCCAATTAAGCACCTCTCTAGCAGTCAGGAATTTTAATAAAAGTGAGGCTCTCAGTTTCCCCCCCTCTGTCGTATTAGTAAAATTTCACTTTGAAGGCTAAGTGTTCAATGGATGGACAGCTGTCATCTTAAACTCCTGGAGGGTGATGGGGTGGGTGCCTCCCTCCTGGGGGTGATGGGGTGGGTGCCTCCCTCCTGGGGGGGATGGGTTTGGCGCCTCCCTCCTGGGGGGATGGGGTGGGTGCTTCCCTCCTGGGGGGGATGAGGTGGGTGCCTCCCTCCTGGGGGGGATGAGGTGGGTGCCTCCCTCCTGGGGGGGGTGGACACCATCCTCCTGTTGTTGGTTCTGCCAGAGCTGGTTCACATTTAGGTCTAGCTAATTTTACCTCCTGTTCCATACCTCTTGGACCCTCCTTAGAATACAATTTTCCATTTCTTTGGCTAATTTCCGCTTGTCCTTCAACATAGAGCTCAGACATTATCAACCCTGAAGAAGCCTTTCCGGACTATTCCTGTGTCTTCCACCCCCCACTGACACCTGATCAGATTGTACACTCTTTGGGGTCTGTTAGAGCCTGAGCTCAGTTTTTGCAAAGTCAAAGGTTCATCCTCAAGAAGGCAGAATCCAGGCTTTTGAGTTCAAAGCCAAGGTATTTCTTTCCTGTTAAAACAAAAATCACAATTAATTGTATTATTTACAGGATTTTTTGTTGTTTTGAGTTGGGGGTCTCAATGTATAGTGCAAGCAGCCCTCAAATTTATACTCTCTTTGCCTCTGTTTTATAGGGGCTAGGATTGTACAACTGGATGGAAAAAAACTTTTAAATAACCAAACACACACACACACACACACAATCTAAAAGGAGAAACCATAATCTTACTATTAAGTGAAAGCTTCATATTACATTTAGATACATGTCTTTCCCCAATATTTTTTATAAATATGTATGTGTATTTTTATATTAAATCAAGAAGAGCCCACTGTACTTTTTAAGTTTACTTTTTATAAGCTGACATTGTTATTTTTCATGTGGACTTAGGAACTGAAGAAGAAATGTCACGTTAACAATGTTTTGTGGGAAGCCGGGCGGTGGTGGTGCACACCTTTAATCCCAGCAGGTGGATCTCTGTGAGTTCGAGGCCAGTCTGGTCTACAGAGCGAGTTTCCAAAACAATACAAAGAAACCCTGTCTCGAAAAAACAAAACAAAACAAAAAAACAAAAAAAAGAAAGAAAAAAAAAGGAATGTTTTGTGGGGGCTGCTTGTGTACCACTCCCTACCCTCCACCTCCCCGCCCTTCCCACCCCGGCTAACAGTGCTCCAACGCTTTCTTGACTGCTTTCCAGGGATGGATAACCCAGGCCAGAGCCAATTCTTTTCCAAGGGAGACATGAAGGATAGCCTTTTTTCTGGGGTACACCAGCCTAAGGCCAAACCAGACACAAATTAGCTAAGGAATAGGCCCAGAGTAGTATCCCCGGGTTCAGAAGGCCGGTGTTAGAGGATTCCCTGAGGAGAGCCAGAGGCAAAGCTCTCTGCAATGTCGGGGTCATCGGGGGAGAAGAAAGGAAGTTCGGCTTATGGTAAGATGAATAGTTGATACTAACTTGGTTTCAGTCTCCTGGGGAAACGCAGCCACTTCGTGATGTCGTGGGGGCATCCCTGGAGGCGGCAAAGCGCGGTGCCTACAAAACGCACTGCAGGCGGGAGAGTTTATTTGCTTTAGACCTGTGCTCTCCAGCAGTTCTTACGCACGAGGCACAGACTGCCCTCTTCCAGGGGCCTAGCTGCAGCCACTGCGGACATGTGGGGGTTGCGGGGCAGGCTGAGCGTTTGCTGTGGTGCTTCGCGCTTCCTCCGTGTCTAAGAATGATGGGCAGCATCAGTCAGGCTCACTGGAGTCTTGCAGAGCCTGAGGTAGAGACTACAGAACACAGGCAGAAATGAGAAGACGGGGGCGGGGGGCAGGGGTTGGGGGGTGGGGTAGGGTGGGACGGGGCGGGGAGGGGGTGGGGGGATGGGAACACAGAACTTGACTTTTCCTCCAGTGTGTTTGCCCCAGCTGACCCATTAGCGCCCTCTGTTTGAAGAACCAAGGGATTCTGTAGCGCTGACCTGCGGAAGTTGAGTTAGTTCACTCTCCAGGACCAAGGCAGGAAAGCAGCATTGGGAAGAAAAGGAAAGGAAATTAAGTTTGTGGGCAGGAAGGCTCCACCTCTTCCTCTGGGGACAGAAAAAGAGCAGGAGGTCAGTTGGGGACACTTAGCTCGGTGGAGCCTGACCTTCCCTTAACCGGCACGTGTCCTTAGCCCTCCAGTCACCCTCCTGGAATCAGGCAGCCTGGACAGGGTGGGCAGACACTCCGGGGTGGGGACACTCCCTTGAGCTGAGACCAAAGACACCTCAGTGTCTCAGCCAGCCCCTGGGCTCATCCAGGCTCGGCACCCCCAGCTGGATTAGAGAGTTCTCACCACCGCACCTGGCCTTTTACTTGAGGGCTGGGGATCCCAGCCCCCGGATCCCTTCACCCTTGCAGTAAGGACTTTACCTCTTGGGCCATCTCCCCAGACCTAACAGGACAAAGTTCTTACCCTCATCCGGACTGCTAAAACAACGGCAGCCAAGCAAGGGAAGAAAGCAGGGTGCGGAAGGGGACAGGGAGGGTCACAGGAAGACCTCTTTGCTGGGTACTTTCCCTGAGTCTAGTGACAAGTTAATAAAAACACATTAGTGTTTGAGTCTGGCTTTGCACGGAGAAATCCGCTCTGCGAGCTGTCATCGGCCAACTCGGATACTCTCTGTGACCTTTGGTTGTTCTTATTAGGACTTGAAAAACAAAGAGGAAGGTTTCAGACTCTGCAAAACTACCCTGACTTTGAGGTTTTTGTTTTGTGTGTGTGTGTGTGTATCTGTTTTGTTTTTTCCTCCTGAATGTGATTTTTTTGCATGTGTTTTTTTTTTTGGTCTGGTGTGCACATACACATGTTCACACCTATGTGCGGGTGTGTATGCAGTGGGGGTCAGCGGTTGATGCTGCACACCTTCCTTGACAGCTCTCTATTTATGCAGGCAGGGTCTTCTGCTGGGCCCAGAGCTCCCCCAGCTCAGCTAGGGTAGTGTAGTTAGCCAGCTTGTTTGGGAACGCCCTGCCTCTGCCTCCTGAGCTCTGTGGTTACAGGTTGGCCCCTGTGCCCACCCAGCTTTTATGTTACGTGTTGGGGATCTGAACCCACATCCTCACACTTCCAAGGCAAGCTCTTTAACCCGTGGATCCACCTCTCCAGCCACCCCCCTCCACCCCTCCTTTTTTTTTGAGAAGGGTCTCACTGCAGCCTGGGCTGGCCTCTAACTCGCTGTATAGACAATAGCCGGCCTTGACTTCCTCATCCTCCTGCCTCTGTGTCACAAGCACTGGGGATCACAGACGTGTTCCAGGATGTCTGCTTTTATGCAGGGAAGGGAATGGAATCCAGGGCTCCACAAATGCTGGGCAGCCACTGTACCAGCTCTGCAGCCGGGCCCTTTCCTGGCCTTGCCTATCGATGACTCAGGACCGTACTCTCCCCACTCCCCCATGCTGGAAAGCTAAGACAAAGCATTCTAGTACATCATTTACAGGGTGTCCTCAAGACGACCCTGGCATTCCTTTTTCTGCTCTCCATTCCAGTGATTCATGAAGTCTCCTTCCCCTGCCCCATGCCTTCCAGTGACACCACATTTCAAGCCTCTGTCCCCATCCAGAAATCTTTTCCCCATGATATCTTCCCATGTCTATCTGCTGGGTTCCCTGCAAGAAGATTCAGCCAAGGTTCCTCGCTGGAATCTTTTCTCTAGGTATGCAGGGAAGGGGGGGGGGTGTCCCACCTTCCTTGGGATTCAAGTATGAACGGCTTTGAGGCTGGTTCTTATGACACATTGTAGCTATTTGACTATGCAACTGTCTTTTCGAGGTAGCTTATGGACAATTTGAGAACAAAGGTCACATGGTTAGATTTTCGTCCGTTCTTTCTATTTTTGATTCAGATGAATGTATTTCACGTAAATGTCTGCATATATGCCTGCATACGTGATGTCTGTGTACCACTTGTGCGTCTGGTGCCTGAGGAGGTCAGAGGGGGGCTTAGCTCTTCTGAAACTGGAGATAAAGATGGTTATTAACCACAGCCTCTGTAAAAGCAACAGGTGTTCTTAACCACTGAGCTATCTCTCCAGCCCCCTCCTCCTCTCTTTGTGTATATCTAGATGTGGGTGTGTCTGTGTGCACTTGACGGAGGCTAGAGGTCAGCTTTGGGTGGTGTTCCTTGGGAGCTGCCCACCTTGCTCTTCTTGAATCTACTGGGTTCTGGGAATTTCCCTAAACGAGCTATGCTCCCTGGCCAGCGATCTCCGGGGGCCCTCTTGTCTCTGTCTCCCTAGTGCTGGGATTACACACGTGTGCTGACACGCCCAGATTTTCACATCATGCTGAGGAATCAACTCTAGTGTGTGCCAAGTACTTAACTGACTGGGTGTCTCCCCTAGACCCCCGTTTGTGATGATACATTATTTATGATTTACTAACGCTTGCCTGATGGTACCGAAAGCAAGGCTACCCCCAAATCATAGTGCCACACTAGCTAGCCATAGAGCCAGGTGGTGGTGGCACACACCTTTCATCCCAGGTCTCGAGAGACAGACCGATGGATCTCTGTTAGTTCAAGGCCACACTGAGCTACACGAAATTGATCTAGTCCTAAAGAGAAACGGCTCACACAAAGGCGATCTCAGCACTCGGGATCACGTGCCTTTAATCCCAGGATTTGAGAGGTAGAAAAGGAGGCAGCAGTCTGGGATTTCAGTCTGAGGCTTGCTGGAGATGGCATTGCAGTCTGAGGATTTGAGGAGCTAGCCAGATCACCCCTTCAGTCTGAGGTAAGAGCTAGTGGCCAGCTGCTTTGTTTATCTGACCATCAGTTTGGACTCCAATATCTATCTCTGGGTTTTTATTTTTTTGTGTTATACTTGTTTGTCATCCTTCAGCACCTAGGATTTCTGGTACCAGAAAGGAGTTCAGAGATATCCAGTCAACCACAAATCGCATGCGTTTCCAAAGGGGCTGCTCACACACACTCTATTGTCTGCAACGCTGACCGGAGGTGACTGCTCACCCATGGCTATTCTTTGCTGCTCCAGCTCTTTGAAGGCAAGGATTCAAATTTCCTGTCTTTTAGACAATGTCCAGTGCGTCATGGACATTAAATAAGTATTGATTTGGGGGGAATGCTTGCTATTGTAGGCCGTTTTACATTTTTTACACTCTGGGCCATATGTCATCATAAAACTAGTGTGTGTGTGTGTGTGTGTGTGTGTGTGTGTGTGTGTGTGTGTTATGTGTGTAAGTTCATGCAGAGGCCAGGGATCAAACACCAGTCTCCCCACCTAAGGAACCACTCACCCTGTTTTTTTGAGGCAGGGTCTTTCACTGAGATCTGAGCCTTGCTCACTAGGCTAGACTAGCTGGCTCTGGAGTCCCAAGGATCTCTCTATCTCCACTTTCCCAGTGGTGGGACTAGAAGTGTGCTTTTTATGTTTGTGCTGGGGTTCGAACTCAGGTCCTCAGGTTTGCTCAGCAAGCACTTCCCTGACTGAGCTTATTTTCTCAGCCCTCGAGCCTCTTAAGAATGAGCGCTGACGTATATTGTTGAGCTATGTAAACACGTGAGCTGACCTTCGAAGCCACTGTTAAGATGCAGCTCTGATTGACAGAAGAATAGGCTGTGTGCCGGGATTTTCTGTAGTGTACTCATGGAGGAAGCCGCAGAGATGGGGCGGAAACAGGCCAGAGCAGGACGAGAACACATTATGTCATATTATGTCTTATGGATTCCCTGGCTTAGACGGTCGGGCTAGATGCCTCGTCTTAGCCCTTACCATCTACGTCTCCAGCAACCCAGCATCCTTGAGCTGCAGGGAAAGAGGAGTCCTTTCCCCAGCCCCACTTAGCCCATGCTCTAACTTCGTCCTGGCACAGCTGGCTTCCACCTGGCTGATTTACATATGCTGCTATATTGCCACTTCATTTTATACCCCTGCTATCAAAACTTGTGGTTATATCGCCGAGAAGATGCAGGAAGGTGGCCGTGGGCACAGTCTTTATTTTGATTGGAAACAGGACTGGTAATAAATGATGAGGAGAAATTTACAGCTTAGTCAGGGCAGAACTGGAGTGTTCCCAGCTCTAGGATACAAAGTATCCCGGTGCTTCTGGGGAAGGGCTATGTCATAGTTAGGGTTACTATTGCTTTGAGGAAACACCATGACCAAAAGCAGGTCCGGGAGGAAAGGGTTTGTTTGGCTTACCCTTCTACAACTAGTCCATCACTGAAGGAAGTCAGGACAGGAACCTGGAGTCAGGAGCTGATGCTTGCTCCCCATGGCTTTCTTTTAGAACCCAGGACCACCTACACAGTCATAGTTCCACCCACATAACCCCATCCCTAATCACTAGTTAAGAAAATGCCCCACAGGCTTGCCCACAGCCTGACTTTATGGAGGCATTTTCTTAGTCGAGGCTCCCTCTTCTCAGACGACTCTAGCTGTGTCAAGTTGACATAAGACTGGCCAGGGTAGACTAGCCCACACAGGACAGGATATGGATGTCCTTCCTATAAACAGCAGAGAGTTAAATGCACCAGCTCCAGATCACAGTCAGGGGGCTGCATAGTGATTACAGGCTCACAGGAAACAGAAGCCAGGCTTGGTTTGTGTAGGATCTGGAAAGGCAGCCGTGCCAGCAGACCGACCGCAGCAGACAAGGCAAGGTGTTCGGAGCAGAGGGGAAGGAAGAGAAGACACATTTGTGAACCTGGTCTGGGGAAGGGAGAGGAAGCAGACAGTGAGGGAGCCTGCCTCTCTCTCTCTCTCTCTCTCTCTCTCTCTCTCTCTCTCAGAAGAGTGCAAGAGGGTGGGCGTACACACACATTCACATACATACAAGTACACGCACACACATACATGCACACATACACACACATGCACACACACATGCACACACAAATGCACACAGGTACATACACAAACTCTTGCACACACGCACACACATGCACACATACACGTGCATATACACATATGCACACAGGTACACAACACACTTTTGCACACACACATATACACACAGGCACACGTGTGCACACATACACAAACACATACTCTTGAACGCATGCACACCGGCGCGCGTGCGCGCACGCGCGCACACACACACACACACACACACACACTTATATTTGCTTTCTGTTCCTCCAGCTTGAGATGACACTCAGGCTGGGAAGGAGAAAAGACGCTCCAGTCAGAGGCAGAAAAGGCCCATGAGTTCACAGCCATGCAAATCAGGGCACTGAGGGCAGGGGTAAGAACACCTGAGGGGCCCCGTGGACTGAGCAGTAAGCACTTGGCATTCAGAGGAATGGAAGTGAGGGAGAACTCGGAAGACACCAGAGGCAGGAAGAGGTGTGAGTCTGGCGGGGTCAGGATGGGTTCGTCGCAAAAGCGGACACCAGATTCCCTTGGAAAGAGGTGGCTTGTTGAGGTCTACGAAGCTGGACCCAATGAAAAGCATCTGAAGTTCAGTTCCC